CCAGGTAATCTCTGAAATGGCTGTGAAATGATTTTGGCGGGACTTTCAGTGGCAGATTTCTGATATTACGTGTAAGGAGTAACTTAGACTACTTTTGTTTTAGAAAAGTAATTCAATCGTAATGAACAGTTATATGGCATGTAATTTGTTACGGCCGGTTACAGTTGCCAAGTTTTGATTGTAATAATTAATCATTAGTCTTTTAATTCTCCACATAACTCCTATCACCTTACGATTTTAGCACCAACTTCAGAAGCTATTATGTGGATGTTTATTTTTGTTTTTGAATACGATTATGCCTTGTATATATATATATATATATATATATATATATATATATATATATATATATATATATATATAAATTATTTGTGTTTATTTATATATATATATATATATTACTTTAATTATATTATTTAATATATAATATTACATTACTCATCATCTTCGTCGTCGTTTAAATAAGTACATACAAATATTCATCCCCTGTTTATCTACATTTATTCATTAAAATCAGTTCAGTTGTGGCGGCGCTGTCGTCGCGCCACAAGCGAAATACACCGAAGCCTAAATCACGCTATCAAAATTCCGAATCATAAACAGCATATATAGAACATCTCCGAACTATCACACGGAGTGTTGGCCGCTCCCCGGGCAGAACACCTTGCCCGGCGGGAGATCTCCCCTTTCCTTCCACGGCCACAGTGGTGATCCCGACGTGATCTGAACATGCAACCAACAACCTTCGGAAACTTCAAGCTTTCATCATCGTCATAAATACCCCACCCATTCGCTCCCGAGCAGATATCGTCTGCAGTCTTCATATCCTGCAAGCCATCTAGCTTCACAAGGTTCATCGCAGCACTGGAATAATAATGCTTCCTGTTCCTTCAAGCTACTCTCTGCGCCATACAGTGTTCGGCACGGCTCTGAGCCTTACTGCTCGCCTCTGCTTCACGGCACTCTCGCAGATTACTTGCCTTCTTCTCGACTCACCGCAGACTACAAGGCAATCCACTGGCACTTGCACATTCGTCGGCAAACGAGGCTGTGCACTATCGACCTCCGGTCTGAGCAGGGGAGGTGATGTGGCGGCGCTGTCGTCGCGCCACAAGCGAAAATACACCGAAGTCTAAATCACGCTATCAACATTCCGAATCAGAAACAGTATATATAGAACATCTCCGAACTATCACAAGGAGTGTGAGCCGCTCCCCGGGCAGAACACCTTGCCCGGCGGGAGATCTCCCCTTCTCCTTCCACAGCCACAGTGGTGACCCCGACGTGATCTGAACACGCAACCTTCTGATTCATTTCCGAGAAATCGATAAAATTACATAAAATACGCGTCGAATATATCACATTTAATGTAATACAGTTGCTGTGTCAGCGAGTTTGTTCGCATAGAATAATTTTTAATACCTAAGTTAAAATTATTTTATATTTAATTTTTATATTTGAATGGAATCTTGTTCATATTTTCATGAGTATTAATTTTATTTGGGCGGAACGCTAATTATTTTGCTATAATATAAGTAACTTAAGTTACTTCTTATGACATTAGCTATCTGCTAGTGAAAGTCTCGTCAAAATCGGTCCAGACATTTTGTAGATTAGCCAGAACAAACAGGTAGACAGACAAAAAATTTAAAAATTTGTTTTTGTTATAAGAACTGTTTGTAAATACATGCATTTAGTTAAAAGCTGTTAAATTAACATTACAAATAGACACTTCATTTTTATTTTATTTATTTTTTTATTTATTTTGGCAATAAACGGTCGAAAGGAAATAAAATACAAACAACTTATCTGTTATAAGTTGACCTACAGTGCCGAAAAGTTAAACACAATTTAAAAGAAAGTTACATGGTAACACTACATAGTGACTATTAACATAACAAAAATCTAAGTTCATAAACATAATTAAAATTAAAATATCAATTTAAAAAATGCAACTCACTTGCAAACCTTACTTAAATTATTTTTTATTGTCTGTTTTAAGGTTTATGTATATGATAACAGGGACTCCATACAGTACTACAAAAATCTAAGATTGACCGAACAAAGGAAAAGTATAGAGTTTTTAGCGTTATAGTTTTGTTAAAGGGTTTGCTAATCATAAAAATAAATCCCAAGCTACGAAATGCATTGCTTAATATATAATCAATATGTAGATTGAATGACAATTTTGAATCCATTATTATCCCCAGATCTCTAATACTATCTACTCTTTTAATAGTAGTGTCATTCAAGCTATAATCAAATATTATATTGTTGACTTTACGTGTATAAGACATAATATGGCATTTATCAATATTGAGATATAATTGTTTATTTCAACAGTAATCAAATAGAGAAGTTATGTCTTTTTGCTGCTTTACACAGTCATCAACTGTTTCGATAACTCGCAATAATTTGTATCATCGGCATAAAGTAAGTAATCACTATTTTTTAATCCCTATTTATTTCTATAGATATGTATATTATTAAAATTTTAGGTCTTTGATTTTATATATTTATATATATATATATATATATATATATATATATATATATATATAAAAAATTTATTTCATATATGTACTTGATTTATATATTTCTTGCCTATTACGTCCATCGCCGGAATTACCGTAATTTTATTGCAGGTAACTTTACGCAAGACATCGTTATTTGAGCTCCGCCGGCCAATGAAAATTTTAATTGTAATTTTAATTAAAATTAATTTAATTTATGAACCTATCCTACTGCAGAGAGATGTAAGACAGGGTGTCGTCATATCCCCGAAACTCTTCACCGCTACATTGGAAAAAGTTTTCAAGCTACCGGACTGGAAAGGATACGGTACTAATATCAATGGCGAGTACATCACTCACCTTCAATTTGCCGACGATATAGTCCTTATGGCAGAATCACTGGAGGACCTAAGCACTATGCTCAATGACCCAATGACCTCAATAGTGTCTCCCAACGGACAGGTCGTTAGATGAGCATGAACAAACAAAGATCATGTTTAATGACCATGTCACACCTATGGCGATAGTTTTTGGGAGCGCTAACCTCGAAGTTGTTGACGAGTACGTTTACCTGGGAGAAATAGTCCGACTAAGTAAGTCCAACTTCGACCCTCTCGGTCGAACTTGGTCAACGACACATCTTCTCGTCAGGTATACCTCAAAACCTGAAAACTAAATTGTTTCTGAACCAGTGCGTGTTGCCAGTGATGACTTACGGATCTGAGACATAGTCCTTCACTGCTGGCCATATGAAGACGCTCAAGGTCGCTCAGCGAACTATATAAAATGATATGCTCGGGGTTTCTCTACGTGATAAACTTAGAAATGAGGATATCCGCAGTAGATTCAGAGTGACCGACATAGCCCAACGGATTAGCAAGCTGATGTGGTAATAGGCCGGCCATATAGCTCGAAGAACCGACTACCGATGGAGAAAAAAGGTTCTCGAGTGACAGCCTTGTACTGACAAGTGGTAAACTGGGCGAACCACAGACGATTATCGAGTTATCGTGGGGGGACACCCTACACTTCGCCTGTTAGTAGGCGTAGTGTAGGGCGAACCCCCACTAGATGGAGTGACGACCGGGTAAAACATGCAGGAATTCGATGGATGCAGGTGGTTTAGGACCGTGCTTAGTGGCATTCCTTGGGAGAGGCCTATGTTCAGCAGTGGACTTGTGAAGGGTTGTAATGATGATGATGATAATTATGTAATAATTTAACATATAATAAATTAATTTAATTTTCCACGTGCTCGGCGGTGAAGTAAAACATCGTGAACTGCATTTATAAAGAATAAAATTATTTCGAAGACAACATGAAATCTGCTAACACAAAGTTGAACAAAGCTGACTAATTAAATAACTCAAAAGTTAGTTAACAAAGATTGTACGACTTTTTCAAATCGCAGTGCCTGCATTGCTGTGATCTGATCTTAAAGTCAGAGAGGCCCGTATAGTTATGGGCTGTGAGACTTTCCGTCTAAGTCCAAAGAGGTGACAACGCATCTGTAGCCTCTTTTGTTTGAAGTTGACTGTATGTGTCTATGAGCTGTAATAGCAAATAAGTTTTATAAAGAAAATTAAATTAAACACTCACTATAATTTTAGTATATAACGACATAGAGTTATTGAGAGGCGGTTAACCTACAGTTCTATAAAGACAGGAGGCCTTGCCAAGCAGTTACATAGGCGTTAACTATTCAAATTACCTAACTTATTATCGATTTAGATTAGTTTTCATCAATTTCAATCAATTTCAAGACAAACATTCAACTTTTATATGACTACTAGCGATTTGCCCCAGCCGGTGATAACCGTCGCGGAAATTCAAGCAATATGTTGACAAAGTTTTATCGCAATCTAATAAACGGTATAGCAAAGCATAAAATACAAACATATACATATGTATATATTATAATAATTAACATTGTGACAGAAGAAGCACGACGAGTAGAATAAATGCAGTAGAAATGCAGGAGAAATACGGTCGCTAAGGCGTATGTTAGGGCTGAATCTGGGTACCAGGGTAAAAAACTGTGTGATAAAAGAAGAGTGTGGTTTGCAATATGATGCTATAACCAGGATTTAGAAAGGAATACTTCGGTGGTTTGGTCATGTAGAAAGAATGAATGAGGAAAGAGTGACAAAGCAAATTTATGTTACAGAAGTGAATGGAAGAGTCGGAAAGGGCGCCCTAGGCGAAAGTTTATCGACCAAATTGGGGATATATTGAAAATGGGCTAAATTAGTAGTACCCTTAACCGACGAGCATGTATGCGTAGGTATATAAATATGGAGGAAGCGGGAGAGGTGTATCAAGATCGTGCCAAATGGAAGTCTCTAGTCTCTGCCTCTCTCTTTTTCTGGTGAAAACATGAACATAAAAACCGGCTCTGGGTGACAGGTGTGAGTGTTTATGTTCATGTTTTCACTATTTTATCTCAATCTTTATATTAAATTTAATTAATAAGATTTATTATCTTACCGCTGTTCCTCTCCATGAACCTTTTGTAGGAGTTCACGATTGACATGTTGTACTCGGAACCCACCCCTGCAACAAAGAGAAGGCATGTTAAAATTTTGTACATCTTGCTTTTTAATTTGCCCACCAATGTCACAGATAAACTATGGCCTCCCCCATTGATTGCCTCAGGAATATGTAGTTGCCACCCGTGGTAGGCTGTTTAGCGACTGCTGTTTCTTGTTATTATTGAGATGTTACCAGAAAGCTTTTTTATAGAATAAGAGTGACAAATGAGCACACAGTCCACCTGATGGTAAGTGGACGCTGTGGCCCATAGACATTTACATCTTCCATTAAGAATCAAAACGTAGATGAGTTGTCACCCCTGAAGACTAAGATGAAATGTCTACACTCACCATACGAAACACAACAGCATTAAGCTGCTCTTTTACCGGTTCGAACCGACCTATTCATGCTACAACCAAAATATAGCAGCGTGGCTCTGCCACGTATGATGATGTTGATATTGATGTCCATCTCCAGTCTCAGTTTCCCTCTGTCGCTTTTTTCGACACCTACGGGTTGATATGGGGTAGAATATTTTCATACATTGACATTACGTAGCATAACATAATATACATTATTAATTATAATAATTACTTCTTGTCATTTAACTCTATGTAGAGATCTATTTTCCACTAAATCAAATTACGATCACAGTCGCGAATCATAACGGAGGCTAGCCATCTGCGCAAAACAGGATTGTAGTGTCTAAGTGTATGCGCAAGCACAAGTTGCACTCTTTATTCCCTTACTCTCATAGTCTGATGGGACGGTAGTCCGACACGACCGCAGAAAAGTCATACGCAGGACCTCGTAGAGAACTAAGCTTATTATCATTTTACTTACGTTAAAATTAAGGAAACTATTGATATAGTTTACGAAAACAATACAGCTTTTGGTTGAAAGGATTTTTAAAACTCAGTTTCAACGCTGACCTCATCCTGTAAGTTAATAATCTTACATTATCAAAAAAAACGACTAATAATAAAAATGACACAGAATAACATATGTGAGTTGTAATCATGAGTTTGAGATTTTAATATGAAGATTCTTTTAATCGGAAAAATGTTTATCCGTTAATGTAAAACATGGTATAAACCAGCTTATAATTTTCAATATTAATATTTTAAAAAACATTACATGTCTTTAATTTGAATAGAAGTTGGAATGTTTCTTTTTATAAAACCCTAGTGGTTTAAAATACAATTAAATCATATAATTTATCTTTTTACTTTTTATTACTAACTCTATCCTATTTTTATTTATTATTTAGAATCAGAATGCAGATTTACTGTCATCTGTGAGGTCTTAGATGAAGTGCCGCATTTCCAGTGAAAAGGGTCTCCGTTTCTAAACATTTACCAAACGTAACACAGCGGGAAGGTATTCTGTGAGAGCATGAATAAAAAATAGACTTTTATGACTTCGCTTCAATAATTCTTTTTGATCCATGTTATTTGCTAGGTTACATAATGGTGGATATAAAATATTGTAATGTTATAAAAATAAATCAGAAATATTACGTCTCTATCTTATTTCAATATCGCAAGTAATAAATCAAATACATTTGTAAATGTCTCAACAAAATACACTTTGCTTTGATTATATTGGATAAAATGTCTAATTGATCAAAAATTCAAATAACGAAGCCGAGTTTAAAAAACCAAATCTGACCTTAGAAATACTTTAAGGTAGGGTACCTTAAAGTATTCGTTGAAGACGAAGTTAAAAAAGACACACACACGCACACACACACACTCACATTCACACACTAAAGAAATATAAAGATATTTGTATAATCATAACATTCACACAATTCACAGAATAATCTTTCTCCGGCAAATCACTATTGGAAACTGACATTAAAGAATATTTTATACGTAAAAGTAAATTAGGCTATTGCGAAAATGATTTAAGCCTTCAGATGGCACTGGCCCACTTGCCCGATGAACTTACGCGTGAATACATTTGGGTTTGCTTTCCTTTTTTCTTTAACTGTTTCTGTTAATAAATGATTCTACGAAGGTGTCATTTAGCCGTTAATGAGTGATATGTAACGCAACATTCACAAATTAGTAATGTCATAATTATTTAAGCAATTATTATATTAAATATGTATAACTTACGTATGTCTTAGAATATTCTTTTTAAATATATCCCCTACCGATTATTTCTAAAAGAACTAGAATATCCCGTCAATAGGAACAAAATAAAATGATCATCACCATTATCATTACGAATTATCGCAAGATTTTTGTCGCCGGCGAATTCTTGCATATCTTACCAGTTGAATAAAATTAACTTTGCTAAATTTCATGAAGTAGAATATCCTTGTTGGTTAAAGTTCATTGCACGACTAGAAGTTCAATAATTCTTATTCATTATCATCAATATTCTTCTGTAAATCCTTTATCAGACTTACTTGGTAGAGCCACACTGCAACTATTATGGTTGTAGCATGAATGGGTCGGCTCAACCAGGGAAGGACCACACTCTCACTGAATACCAGTGTAAAATATCAGCTTAATGCTCCTGGGTTTCGTATGGTTAGTGTAGAGAACCGGAGACCCGTTTTACTGGAATCGAGGCATTCCATGTTAGTCCTCACGGGTGACAACGTATCTACATTTTGATTCTTAAGCGAGGTTAAATGTACATTTCTATGAGCCACAGCGTCCACTTACCATCAGGTGGACTGTGTGCTCTTTTATCACCCTTATTCTATAAAAAAAAGACTTATGGTTATTTTATTATATATTTTTTAAGTTTTATTTGAACCCTTTTACATCTTCTGAATTTATTACTGCTTAGTAAAAAGTACTAAGCTTTTCATATTGACCAAAAGCTCAGAAGGGATAAATCGACGTCCAAGAACTAAAGGGCTTAATTATCCAATATTATTCTTTTTAGTTTTTTGAATTCAATTTTTACATTTCTTTTGATTGTTAAAAAAATTGAAAGTTTTTTTCTAATATTTCAATTCTATTCATCCACCAGATGAAACTTTTTCCTTTTGTTAATTTAAGTGTTTTAAAATCAAAATTAGATGACCAAAAACCCTTGAAATACCTCAAGTGTTTTCTCCATCATCATCATCATCATCATCATCCTTTTTAATAAAATAATTGAAATCGCGTCACAATTGGCGATGACAACGCCTAACATACATATAGGAAAACAAACTATTTTGAAATAAAAACATCCCCTTTTTTTAAGTTCCGCTAAAGTAAGATTAAGGTTAAAAATATTTCTTTTCATGCTTTCAGCGTTTACTTGTTTTTTTTAGTACCGATTCACGCAAACCCAATGTCAATGTGCCCATTAAAACAAATGCTACGAGGCACTAGAAATTTCTGGAATTAAATTAAAGATGAAATTCGGTAATATCCATAATTTATTTTTATTCAAAATTTATGTTTATGTTTTCTACAATAAAGAAAAAAGAAGATATTATGCGGGAGCTCTCTGCTGTCAAAGACATTTTCGCTAAGAGGTAGCTTATTTGAATAATGTATATTAACAAATATCCTTGTTTATATTTGATTATTCTCGATAACGTCATTGGAATGTTAAAATTTAAATTCTTACGTGAAAACCAGTTGGTAAATATTCAATACTGGATATACTGGTCTCTAATAGTTCTTAATTTTTGAATGTTTTTATTTTCAAATTTGATACTACGTATTTAGTTGCAATATCATATTCGCAGGCTATTTCCTATTTAGCCGTTCGTATATGTGATTAATTAGTTGCGTCGTTGATAGTTACTCAATCTTTCATATTTAACTGGCTTCAACTTAAAATTATAGTTTATCGATGATTAACAAATGTTTAAAGATACCCTTTTGCCCTATTCGATTCCGCAATTAGAGGTTATTGACTATGCAAAAAGTTTTTTGTTGTTTGTTAAAAAACGAAACCTCTGTCACTTACTTTGAAGTTCTATGAATGATATTAGGATGTTTGCGATGAAGATGCGTAATCTTTCCGTATCTGATGTGATTGACGCTTTTGCGCGCTTTATGCTTAAATTTTTTTGTCCTTATGAATGGACTAAGGAATAACACTAATTCAACTTCTTCTAAATAACTACATTAAATACTACATCCCTAAGGTTGGCAATATCCTCGGTACTGCAATATCTAGGATATTTCCAATCTTAGGGGCGGAAAGCTTTCTCCAGATTAATATTAGAACACCCTTGTCAGGAAAAAAATGTGTATATGGTGGTGATATAAATATATCATATCATAATTTAGTAGATCTTCACCATCATCATCACAGCCTATCAAAAGTCTAGTAGCTTTTGAAACAGAAACAGAAAAACTTTTTTTTCAAGTAGATTTAAATACCTATTGAGTCACTTTTTTCATTTACCTACCACTGGTTCGCAAAAAAAACCCTATCCTGGGAAGAATCAGCAAGAAACACAGCGGGACTATTTTTTTTTAAATAATAGCTTACAACCATGTTTACAATTAACAACACAAGACAAATTAGAAATAGGGCGGGGGTTAGTCTACTCCTAACTTTTTGATTTTATAAATAGGACTAGATTAACACCTATTCTGCTCTCCTGTCCGGCGAGCAGTTTGGCATATGGCTCTGGGGGAGAGCACAGGTCGTGCTGATCCCCAGGGTAAGTCTGAGGAGTTCTCCTTCACGTGGTTGCCGCCTGTTATTTGGTCTGGTTCAATAGGAAACAGATAGAACAGAAACACTCGGATGATCCTCTTTTTCTTTTATTTTATCCCTCCCCCTTTTCCCATCCCAACCCAATCCAAGGTGTCAAGCGTACCGTGCCGATGGATGCGTGGCTGGAGGGAGTCCAGTCGCAAATGGTGCCTACCCGAGACCAGGGCGATTCGGGTAGTATTTTAGCCCTTCCCTCGGCATGCGGGGCTCTGCCGGGGGTGACCAAGTATTTCCCTAGCTACTCGTGGGAACAAAATTGACGAAAACCATTTTGAAAAAGATATTAAATCTCCTTTAATGGAACTATCTGCAGGTTTGGAAGAGGCTCT